TTACGTAATTAAAATAAATAAATATATATATATATATATATATATATATATATAACTATCTCCACCTATAATATTTTTTTTGCTATTTTAATGAAATCTTTTAGATGAAGAAAATGAAGTTTTATTTTGGTTCATGTCATCACTTATATTACAAAAAAGAATTCAACTTCCAATCCAAAATTAACATGCAATTAAATATGACGTGGATTGAAATTATCCTAAAAGATTGCAATTTCACCTTATTATATCCTAGTGTAATTTTTTATTATACTTCAAGCAAATTTTAATACGTAATAGTCTATTATTTTTAATAAATTACTAATTAATGTTCATAGACTATAGTCATTTAAATATTTATTTATGAGAAAATTATACATAATAACAAATTAATAATCTAAAATAAATGGAGTAGCTAGAGTTTGATTTAATTGCGCTTCATAGCAAACGTTTGCAAAAAATGGTCAAGCGTCTCTCTTCCAAATATATCGCTCGCCACTCTCATCCAATCTCTCGCTCGCTTCCTTACTTTTTATATAAACAGAAGTGTATAAAAATTGTTTCTAATTGTATAAAACAGAGAAAACTGTATACATACATATATTTTTATTCCCCTTCCAGATCTCGCTCGCCACTCTCTCAAATCTCGCTCATCACTCTCGCCTTTCTCACTTATACAAACAGAAGCGAAATGTATAAATTGTGTTTCTATTTGTATAAAGCGTGAGAAAATTGTAAATACACATGCAAGTACATATATTTTCGTTCTATTATATAATAAAAATACTCCCCTGCCCAGTTTCTTTTGCCTTTCTCTCTTTCTCGTTTTATACAATTCGATTCAATTGTATATTCCTTGTCAAGTTTCTTTTGTCTTTCTCTCTTTCTCATTCTATACAAATTCAAATTGTATATAATTGTTCTATACACTTATAATAATACAATTCGTTTCATACACTTCGTTTTTATACAGTTCTCTGCCTAAGTGTCTTTCTCTCTCTTGTTTTATACACTCCATTTTAAACAATTTGCTTCAATTGTATATGTACAGTGAATTATACAGTTTTTATATTTGTTATGGAGTGCAATTATGTAAACTTCGCTATAACGTACAAATATAAATTTTTTATTTGCTATATGTGAAAGTTGCCCGCTATTTATGATTTGACTGTGCAAGAATTTTTCGCTCATCATCGAATAAAGTATGATTATTCACATTGTGGTCTAAAAGGTCAAAGTAACATGTAAACAAAAAAATTATAAAATATAAATAATCTTATCTATTTCACAAAATAATTCAAAAACCCAATTAGATAATAAAATGTCAATTCGAACGAAAGCTAATATAAAAATAAATAAAATAGAATAGTAGGTCAAATTTATTATGTCCTACTTGTGGAAACTTTTGTCAAAATTATAATTTAAACATCATAAAATTACTTTTCTTTTCATTTAATTCTGCCGACATAAAATTACTTCAAAAAATTTCAACATCAACCAACACGTATAAAAAAGTTTAAAATTTTATGCTTTTTAATTTATTGAATATCAATAAAAAAAAAGATGGTTAGATAAAGTTTTTTTCATGTATCTAACTTTTAGTAAAGTTTTTCATGTATCTAACTTTTAAGTAAATAAAATTTTCTAATTTTTGTGTATAGAAAACTAAAAGTTAAATATTTCGTAAATTAGTAAAAATGCACGTACGTTAACTCAAACACCATTATTATATAAATATATCGTAGTATGTCTCTGCCTTACATGCCATTCTTTTCAATTGTCTGATAATCAAAATAAATTCAAGATATTATAATATATCATTTTTCATCGAATAACGTTCGGACCTATCCGGACGCACCCCTATGGGGTGGGGAGTAGGGCTCACACTTCATTTGTTCTTTTCAAAAAAGATTTGAGTATACCAACAGTAACTATACTATTTGCAAATAACATACTTCTAAGATCTAATAGAAAATAATACTAGAGAATAGAAGAACAATCATTAATAACGAAATTAAAAATTTTGTTAACGATATTTAAAATTTTAATATATTTATCTCTAAAACAAACTTGTTAAAAAATTTAGATATACAGTATTTTTTTCAATAAAAAGTATTCGACTCACCAATGAATTTACGGATGAGGTCATATATAGTGAAAAAGACTTGCTAATATTCAATCAAGAATCTTATCAGATGTTAGGTGGACCAATGGATCAACCAAACTAAGCTAAAAAGGGGACCAACAAAAGATGCCCCATGTTGAGTTCAAATGGAAAAGTGACTTTTAACTCGGAATATCGATCATCTTGTGTTTTGTGAATTAAACTCGATGACAAATTATTCATTCATGTCCTGTATAAGTTGATTAAGTAATCTTCAAAGCATCCTCAATTCAATTTTTCTAGCGCTCCTCAATTTAACTAGAGAACTAAAAAATATAATAAAATTATTAACTGAAAAGACTGTAATAACTTCCTTTGCCATGCAAAGATATTTCAGTAGAGAAAGATAGAAGGACGAGACCGTTGTTGATTAAAAAAAGACTCTAAAGATGCCCTAGGGCTGCGTTATAGGGGCAAAAGCTAAGAAACTTGTGATTCAGGTCACATATTTGAATATGCTCGATACGATCAAAACTTAGTATTAAGTCAAGAAAAATAATTACAACGAACCAATTATTCTCGAGTTTCAAAAGCTATAATTAATCTAGGAAGTTGGCCTAAAAAATTTAAAAATAGAGGGACCCAACTAAAGATTCATAAGGATTGAGTCATAGGGTCTCTATTAATCAAAGCCACTAGCATTGAATATTCATAAAGCAGGTTAATTAAGCCTTATATTATTGACTATGTATCATATAATAAGACAAAGTGATCAATCACACATTCAAATCAGAAATAAATACAACTCTATAGAAAAGAAAAGGCTAACTCGATGGACAAAACATTCGAAAGAACCGCATCCCGAAAAAGAATATTACGTAGATATTACACATAACTTATAGGTTACACGAAGAAAACAAAACACATCCTCTATTAACAAGATTTGATGAAAGAATCGCATCTTAAGAAAGAACACATCCTCTATTAACAAGATTTGATGAAAGAATCGCATCTTAAGAAAGACAAACTGTCAGTAACTACTTTTATAGTTTGAACACATAATTTATAGGTTATGTGAAGAGAACTTTATTGTTGCTTCAGAGCACCAAATCAAAGTCTTGAAGTATAGAAAGTTAGAAGTCCAAACAAAAAGCCAACATCAGGAGATCACAAACACATCTCATTCTATCAACAGAAACTTACATAAGTAAATGAAGCACTTTACAAGAATTGTCCACAAAAAAGAAAAGGAAGAAAGTACTATCCAAGATAGAAGCAAAGAAGCACAATCTGGTTGTGTTTCAAAACCAAACTTCTTGCAAAGTAGCTTTACCCATAACTCAAGTAATAACAACCAGATTTCAGTCTGCAAACTTTCAGATTCTTTAGCCAAATCCAACTAGTTCGGAATTGCGATGTAGTTGATTGATACTTGAACAAAGACAGTTTTTTTTTTATCTAAACATCTAAATATGGATAGTGGACTCAAATGTGTGTCCCTTCAAGGCAGGAAAATTGCAACACAAAGACTAATGATATGTTTCTTGATTTGTTCATGTCATCCTCAAGCAATGACCATGCTGATCTTCTCTGTATCGTTCAAATTTCAACATCGACTAATCATACTTCTCTCTTCAAGAATGCACAAGAAAGAAAACCCAGGAAAGTCCTAAAACAATGTCAGCGACAATGACAAGATCCATATATGAAACAAAGGAAGTAAGGCAACATAGACTAATCACACTTTTCTCTGATTTGTTTGTGTCATCCTTGAACAAGGATCATGCTAATCTTCTTTGTATCGTCCCTCGAAGGAACGAGGACTAATCATATTTCTCTCTCCAAGAATACACAAGAAAGAAAACCCAAGAAAGTCCTAAAGCAATGTCAGCAACAACCAATCTTAGCCAATCGTGTCCGAGATCCTCCTCAAGCTTCCTCTCAAAGTAAATTCTCCAAACAGCCATAGCTATATGAAGGAGGACACATCCCTTAGCAAAGAAATTGTGAAACTCTCTGTCTTTTACAAATGCCACCATGAACAAGAAAAAACCAATGGCAAATAAAAGCAGACCAGAGAATGAATCTGATGTTTGGATTATCAATTGGTCATGGGGTGTCGATCCAAAAAGCTTACTCGCGCGCTCTCTTCCATGGCTAAATATAAATACCTCATTGCTATAAAACATCATCAAAGCTCCAGAAGTTAAGGCCACCATAGAATGAAGTATACACAAGAGGAAAAAACCAGATGACCCCATTTGATCTCTTTGAAACACCCAAAATTATCTCCTTTTTTAACACACCAAAGCTTCAATCTTTGTACAACAACAAGAACAACTACGTCTCAGTTACGAACAAGTTGAGGTCGGGTATATGAATGCTACTTCTTGATTATACTACATAAGAGGAAGAAACTATATGACCCTATTGATTATTTGAACCAAT